CAGATAAAAGTGTTTTTTTCCATAACAGTGATTAAACCTCTGGAAGCACATACATTTCGCCATTGAAAACACCTGGTGTCTGTTAGGTCTTTCCTATTAGAGTCATTGTTTTGTTAAAAATAAGCAGAACACCATGGTTTACCAGACAATGGGAACATTCAAGAGAAAAGACAACAGAGTGGTGAGCTTTATGAATGAAAGGAGAACTCGTAAGTGTGGAGAGGAAATACTGCAGCAATCAGCAGTTACTGCAAAAGATGGGTGGGTTATATAGGATTATTGCTATATTCAATGTAATACAATTGTATCTATATGTCTCTGTAATTCTATGAAATAGTTGTAGTGACACATCTTCTCTCTCTTGTGGATCTCTAGTTATAACAGTGACAGCAGGCTCACGAGGTGAGCTGACCTTTAAGGAGGACCACCAGTTCTTATGAAACAGATGGTCCACTTTAAAAAGGTCAGCCTACCTTAACTGAGCCTTAAGAAAGTCTTGGCTGTTTTCATTCTTCTTATTGAAAAGTATAGATTTGTTTCCATTTTATTGTCTAGAACAGTGATTCTCAAATGGGGGTACGCGGACCCCTAGGGGTACGTTGGGGTACTGCAGGGGGTACGATAGGTTAAAAAAAATAAAAAAGGTTAATTAAAAAAATACCATGCATGATTACAAAAATAATCTTAGTACAATAAGTTAAATAGAAAATACAATTTTATATAAAATATTCCTAGAACCACTAAGGCCTCATATAAACATGTTACATTTGTGTATTGTATTTATAGTTTGTAATAATTCATTTTCATTTTGTTAATTGGTTTGTTAAACATATATTAATTCAATTGAAAAACTCCTTGGAAAAATCTTTTTTTTCATAAATAAAGATGAAAATATTGTTAGTTTGTTGTAATTCAGGAGTTAATAAATCAAACACTGATGGAACATCACTATTGTAATTATTTATATATGCTTTTTCCGTCAAAAATGTCCGGGGTCGGTCAGGGGGTACTTGGCTGAGAAAATGTTTCAAAGGGGGTATATTAATGAAAAAAGTTTGAGAAGCACTGGTCTAGAAGAGCCCATAATTACATGTTTAAATCATATTTGAATAGCTTTTTGTGAGTTGATAAAATTGTAACTGATTGTGATAATCAGACCCACCTTTTTAATTTCAATTTTGATTACATTTGATGTATTCTTGTTATATTCAGTCCTGCATGTATTGCATTCTATTGTTATTAACTGTTTTTGTTAATCACAAAAATATGTGTTGCTCAGTCTATGGACTGGGATTAAGGGTAGCATATATAAATATTAAATATAAATATATATTATATAATAATCTATTATATGATCATTGTTTTTATTTTGTCACTCTTTGTTACCTTTTGTGTATGAAAAGTACTATATAAATAAAGTCTGATGTGATTAAATGGGCAGAAGATATTGTCTCATATTGATCGCATTAAAAGAATATCATCATAGAATGTAATATTGGCATATCTGGAATTGTTGTCAGAAAAATTGAAGTAATACTGCAACAAAACGTGTGGTGTGATTTGAACCCTTATCAAATACGTACTTATTCAACATTCAAGGGAATGAGATTTTCAAATTGTTATTGAACATCGACATCAGAGCAAAACAAACATGATGGGGACTTCCCTACAAATTATCAGCAGCTTAAAAACATCCTTCAGTTAAGCCGGAGCCTCTGTCTTTGAAGGGATTTTGACGAGGGATCATTTAAATCTGACAGCAGTGCAGATCTGTATCCAAATATTTATCTGAACTTTGAAAAACCCCATCTACAGTGATCTGATTTAGGACAAGACCTAGCCAAATATAAGTAAATCACCAACTGTCTGACACCAGTACCCTGTACTACGAAGCCGGATTTTCGCTTAGCGAGGTAACTTCAGGGTTAACTCTGGGTTTCCGGTCCTACGACGCTGGTTCACTTCTTACCAGGGCAGATCTCCATGGTAATTTATGCTGAACACCAAACCTGCTCCAGAGCAGTGAAAGCACAGCCTGCTGACCAATCAGAGCTCAGTCTGCGGAGTTTAAAGCTATCAAGTTCTGTGGGAAATACAGTTTAAACTGCCGTTGCAGGAAAGAGGTCCGGCAAAAATCACCGTCTGTTTGAACGTGAACATTAATAGAATATCACTGCCCATCTTCAGAGCAATCTGACTGTTATTACATTAGCGTTAAGCAATTACTTAAATATCTGCCACAACGTAACCGGAGCAAAGTAACATTACGTACAGTCCGCGACACTGAGTCCAGACGTCGATGTGTCCCTCCCATTATCATTCATATCACATAATCAATCGCATCATATCACACAGGGTATATGCAGGAATCCTGAAGTCAAATTGAATACCTTTTAAGACCTTTTTTAAGACCCTTTCCATACATTTTAAGACCTCATCGCAACTTTGAGTTCTAACCGGTTACATTGGCAACACACTTTACCTCACATTTACTATATTGATTGTAAGATAGCAAAACTAAACAGAGTGCAGCAGACAGACTACTGAAGCCTCCTTTCCACATGAACTTCAACCTCTCTGTGAAGGTCAGGTTTAATGCAGTATGCTGCTTTTTTGGCTTCTGTAGACTCTGTGCTCTTTCATTCCAGTAAAACTCCTCAGAAAACATTAGAAACCAGTATTTGACCAATAAACAAAACAATTGACAAAACTTTGAACAATGAAATATGTTAAACTTTGGTGAGCTTCAGCGGGGTAATGCCATATAGGAGCTCCCTCACAAATACCCAGGGGTTAAATTGGGCTGGGGCTGTCCGGGGCTAAGCCCTGGCACATAGGGCGATGCTTTGACGTCATCACCCTCACACATTTGTCATATGTTTACAAAAAAGGATATATATGTTAAGACTTTTCTCATTCTTAATATAGATTATATTTAGGGTCTATATGTGTTGACTTTACTTTAAAATAGCAGATCTCTGTGACCAGATATAGTTTGGGTTAGACCCCGGCCCCACACGGTAAAACGCATACGCAAGCGCAAAAAAGGCTTCCGTTCACACGCATTCGATTCATTAACGTGTCCGTTCACACTAGACCGCTGGAAATGCTGGAAAAGATGTAGTACATATGTCAGGCCTGTAAGTGGCGCTGCTGCCGCCCGAGATACACCAAAAGCAGCGAAGAAGACCCCGGAGCATGGTTGCCATGGTTGCCCTTCTGTTTATTCTCCGCGGTGGACGGCGTGTTCTCCTGCTGTATCTCTCAGGTAGTCCACCAGCAGATGAAAAACACCCACCTCTCCGCCTCTTCCAAGGAACGAGGGGACCGTGCGGCAGTTTCCGTAAAAAAAATGTTCCGCCGGTCAACATGTCCGTTAAAGTTTAAATCTTCCGTACAAAATTAGAAAAGTGCCGGTCAGAGGTCTTCTTTGTTATTTATTGAGCTTCAAAACAAATTGATAACGACTCTGTTCTCTGTATAATAATATAATAATATTTAATAAACGGTGACTGCCTCTCTTTTCCTCCCCCTCTTCTGACAGCCCAGCAGCAGCAGGAGACGTGGGGAGAGGGAGGCGGGCTCTTTCATCGTTATCAGAAAATGATCATGTAGGGCTTACACACGGAGCCGTTGGACCCCCAGAGCGTTGCGTATGCCGGTCTACCCACCTTGGGACCC